TATATTATTTAATATATATTAAATGAATAACACCAGTGAATCTATTTCTTTTGAGTGTTTTAAAAAAAATAAGCCTCAAGTAGAACGGCACTCAGGAAATGAAGTTAGTGGTGACCTTCATCCACTACTGCTTCCAGCACAAGGAGGTAATGAAGAATTGTACCCGGATCATGATGTTGTGGAACTTAAATGTGAACAAGTAAGAACTCTTATTTTAAGATGCTGTCTGTGTATATTCTGAACTTTTCTTATAGGGCTCTTCTAGGGGGATAAAGGTTTTAACAACATAGCTGGATGCTCCGTAAGTATAACTAAAAGATGTATAATAAATATAGTGAAAAAGTTGAAAAAAGTGGGTTAAATTTTACTGTCCTTTCAAGAGCCGGTTCTGTCAACAGTTTCTTTAAAAGCTGAGTTCCATGAATGGGCATATTATGGCAATTCTGAAAGAAAAATAACTTTCTAATGTAGCAGAATGTGGTTACCGAACTTGAGGAAGATTCCTCTTAAATTATTGATCAAATGATGAATTAAGTCTGTTCTGAAATTAGAGGATGTGTTCTTATCCATATTTTCAGGTCATAGAAGATAATTCTCAAATTGAGTTCCTAAAGAGTCAGCTCGCTGATTGTCAGGAAAAGCTTCATAAGCTAGATTGGATAGAAGATAAACTAGATGTTTTAGAAAAGAAACTGAAAGGAAAAGTGATCATAGATGAGAAGGACTGGAATAACTTGTTGAGTCGAGTTTTGCTTCTTGAAACAGAACTGTTGTTGCAATGCAAAAAGGTATGTTAACTTCTGTTTCTCTTCTATCACAAAAATTGCCCAAACAGTCAGCAGCCTGTTTCTGCTCTTCCTGCCTCCTGATGTACGCTTTTTTGCACTTTTCAAAGGCATGATCTGAATGCAAGTGCTGTTATGGAGTTGGTGGTATTTTTTTCCTTGGCTCTTAAGTTCTGTTGTTTTCTCATGCTCTGAGAAACAAAGCTGTCCATTGGAAATAGTTTCCTTGCAGGAACTGCAGGTGTAACTAAGCCTATTTTCATTAGTAATGACTGTCTGTGTTTTTATTTCCTAGCGAACTTATAGAAGGAAGCTTTGAAAGACTCTTAATTATGCTGTCTTGGAAAGCTTAATGTTTCTGTAGTTGAGAGTTTCATCATGCTAGTGACACGTTTAAGAGTTTCCTTATTCTGTTCTACATTATTCTGAATTTCTTATACTGACCTGCAAATGTTGTTGTTGTTCTATTTGCTGTTGATACAGTTGAATTTCTGTTTTTTTAATTCTCCAAACTCTAATCAGATACAGATATTCCCTTTGGAAGATTAAGTCTTCATTCTGTATAATGTTGTCAAAAATAGATGACATGTTCAATGGAAAATACAAGATTAATGAAAAAGTTAGTTCTTATTTTAGTCCTATTCTTAGTTTGTGGCTCTCTGAAATTTCTAGCCTAATCAATGGTCTCTCTCCATTTTGCACTCACTTCCCCCTCCCCCTTCCTATTTCTTGTCCATAATGTCCATTGCGTTGTTAAACACATGAAGATGCAACAGCTGTGATGTGACTACGTTTGGCATATTTGTCAGAGCAAATCAAATCTTTTTGTTGCATTAAGACTCTTGTTATTTTTCATGCTACAGAAAGGTCCTTGTATGCACATTATATAATTTCACAGATGTACACATGAAAGTATTTTGAGATGCAGTGAACCATTGCATCAATTTTGTGATCACATGCTTAATTTCAAAGTGTATTTTCATATGAATCTTGTGTCTGTCCTTCAGATCCTATCAGATTCTTTCCAGAAGTTGTAAACCATTGTGGAATATAGGTGATCAGTGTTGCATTTCTCTCTGTAGTTGTAAAAATGTTGAGTTTACTTGTAACCAGGAGCTCTGAGTGTGCTGGCATTGCAAATTTGAAAATGTCGCTAATATTTGTATACAAGACATGACTGGGTTTTTTTGGTGTGCTTTGAAAGTGTGCCAGTCATGCGAAGTCTTCAAATGGGAGAGTGTTCAGACTGATCACTAGGTTATTTCTAAAGGCTGTAGCTCAAATGATACAGACTGACGTTCTCAATTACTTGTTTTTTAACACAGTTTCAGGTCAGTAATGACCCAAGTGATTCGCCATTTGAAATCAGTTTCTTATGGTAATTCAGTTATCAGTGGACATATGCCCAAATAACACCACCAACGATAATGTTTTATTCTGCTAGCGGTCTCAAGAGGCCTTCAGCTGAACAGCCATAGATGGTTTTGCTGCTGTTTCAAGTGTATTCTCCTCAAGAGAAAATTGCTGCATTTATGCGTTTATGACAGTAACAGCATGGGAAAGCTTGTGTTTCAGACTAGGCTTGTTCTTTTATTTCTATAAATGTAGTTTGTTATTATTTCAGTAACATGTTTATTTCAGTTGTTCAAAGATGTGAAACAGTATTTGGGAAATACTTAACAGGAATTTTTGAGTGATATTAAAATAATTATATTTAATAATTATATTTCTATGCTGCATGTTACTGAAAGAAGTCATCTGCAGAAACAAGCTTGAATTTAGGTTGTGTGGCATTGTCGTTTGTCTTTTTTTCAAAGCAAAAGAAGCTGGTTTTTATATTAAAAAAAAAAAAATCTTCAAAACCCTAACTTTTTTGCAACAGACGTTTGAAAACTGCCAAGAAATAATCCTTTGGGCCAGAGAATTGCTGCTTCTTTGTTTCATGAAATTCCATCCAAGTTGTGCTTCACAGATATAGAAGTAATTCAGAATTACTCCTTTATTCTTACCCTTGCATTTTTCAGGGAACTTTTGGCTTCTAGCCAACATAGCAGGAACACTCTAAGATCTGTCTTGCACTGCTGCCAAAGTAGCAGCAGCTGTGCATTTAGCTCTGGGAAAGTCTGAAAGCTACCAAATCCATTTCAATGAAAGGAATTGAGTAGAAGTGGTCAGTGCAGATTTTTTTTTTTTAAAGACATAGCCATTATTACTGTCTCTTCCAGCTTCTTCCCACACAATACTTACCATTTCTCCCTTATTCACTTGTTTGAGTATAATATTCCTGTTAAACGATACAGTTACTTCAGTGTATAAAGTGATATACTTAACCAAAGGCTGAGATTTCAAATCATAACGATAACTCCGTGGTGAAAAAAGTCTAGATATTATGAGCATTGTATTTTTTTTATTTTGAAATTAGAAGATTGCGCTCAAGAAGATTTATTGTTAGTACAACATTAGTCTTGTTTCCTTTGTTTATGAACAACTGTTCTCTAAGCTAGATTGAGTTAAAATCAGAATTTTTATTAAAAGAGCTCTCTCATTTAGAAGCCTGGGAAGCTAGCTTCAAATAGACTTTTGAGTTCTAAGCATTGAAGTGGAATGGATTTCAGTTCATCAGTAGGTTAAATTTTTCAGACTGAGGAGTTACATTTCTGAATATCAACCAGAAGTAGAAGGTTCACTTATTTTATTAAGGTAACGGCAGCCACCATCAAGATGTAGTTGTTAGCACAGACCAAGAACAGTCTGTTCATTCTATTCATATCTAATATATGCACTGTGTTTGGACCTGGTTTTGACCTCTTTATGAACAACAATATTGATAATAAAAATAGACTAATTTTAATACAATCTATGTATGGAAATTTTGGATTTTTTTAGTTCTATAAAAACATTTATGCGCTGCCAACGTATTTGGATGGTGTAGCAAATGCGTACGTAATGAGTACTTAAATATGCTTTTGTTGAGTCAAAAGATGATTTAAACAGGGTGTATGACTAAAACGCAGTAAACTTGCATTTCAGAGAGACTTATCTACAGAGTTCAGCAATATAAATCAAGAATGTACTCCTAGTAGGATTCCAGTTTCTCCTGGTGAGTATTAATGATTTCTTTTTAATTAACATCATATGCTAAACACTTCTTGCTGGCCTTGTTTAGAATGCTGATTTTTAAGTAGACAATAGCAACTTAGTGACCTCTGAATTGAAATGCATGCTGCAATTTAGAAATTAACCTGCTGGTTATTTCTGAAATAATAAAAAGGTTCTGAAATAATAAAATTTCTGAAATAAAAAGGTTCTGAAATAATAAATTTTCTGAAATAAAAAGATTATTTACTGAAATTGTATTTTCATTAATGCTTAAAAAACTTAGCAGAGTAATTAATAGTTACAAATAACAACTAAAAATCTCAAAGATGCAAATTTAATTAAAGTGCTAAAGCTATGAAAAGCAATAGTTAGCTGCATTTTAAAGCAGTTAACATAATGTTTTAAAAATAAACTGTTTGTAAGCACGAAAAGAATTATATTTGCTGCCACAAGTTTGTTATGATTAAAAGTGTTGCATTTATAATGTTATTTTTTACCTTTGTAATGGGACTGAGGACAAACTAAGGCTTTTTCATTCATAATCCGTGTTGTTTTTCAAATCACTGCTGAAAATTCTTTATTTACAGTTTCATCCCTTCTGAAGCAGTTAGCTGCTATCCAACAAGCATTTTTGCTATTTTGCTAAACTTTCTTATTTTGAAGAGCAAGACAGAATCTTTTTCTGCTGTTTCCAACTTAATTTTGGTAACATATAAGAAATAAATGAAAAAGCCTGAAGTGGGAAAGAAATTAAAAACATTCCCCAGACCATAAGTAACTCTTCTGTCTTCCTCAATGGTAACTCTTTAGGCCTTACCTCGCATCGTTCTCTTTATTAATTTGACCTGTTTCCCCTATGGCAGCTGTTATTCCTACTACCAGTAGTAAGGAGGATATTCTATTTCCCTTTCTCATTTATTTGGCATTTTTATCCAGTGTTGGGCTGTTGCATTGAAAATTAAAATATCTCAGTAATCCAGTATTCTGTGGAAATTAGGAAGGCACTTTCTTGGTTATGTTGAGTTTGTTTTATTTTGAAAGTCTCAGAAATAGGACTTTTTTTTGCAAACCTTGGAAAGCTTGCAATTATTTGCTTCCTTTCATAAGTTCAGTGCAATGTTACTGGCACTTGAGGACTTCATAGTCATTAAGCAGACTGATGATCTTTAAAAGAGAATTTTCATATTTTCAGACTTCTAGAATTCTGAATTTGTTATTCCTGTTTTTCTAAAACATGATTCAGGAAATTTTAGGCATACAAGTTGTGTGGCCAGTCTTAACTCTTCTATCTGAGGTGTACAGTACTCAGTATGCTCTGATGCTCTTTTTGGTTGTAGTGCTCATCAGGAACCACAGTTGTACAGAAAAAATACTTTTTAATTTTAATTGATTAAAAGTAATTTAATATGATTTTAAATATAGAATAGAGTAGCCAACCATGTTGCAAAGGTATCATTTGTAGTTAGTGGCCTTACTAAAAATAGAGATACAGGAACACTTTTTTTCTAAATAATACATTATCTTACCTGACAGTAGTATTCTAAAATAGCAAAGAGTATCAAAGCCTTCTCAATGTAAAAGAAAAGTCTATTTCTGCTGAATGGATGCTAAACCTTTCCCAACGGGAGGAGAGCTAGGGAAACAGCAAGAGCTTGATACAGATTTTAAGTTAGACAAGAAAGTGATGATTTTGTTTATATTTCTGCTGCTTGTAAGACAGGTTACTTAGCACAAATTAAAGACGTGTTTGAACAAGCAGTTTACAAAAAAAATATTGTGAACTATTTGAAATGGCTATTGAATGTTTGATCCAGTAATTAGACTTTAAGTGTTGATTTTACTGTAATCAGGATAAAGGTAGCATTTCTAGGAATCTTTTTGGAATTTGTCTTGTGTATGTTATACATAGTATACTGCACTTAAGTGCTTTAAGAAAATGCGAAACCTATTTTGGACCCTCACCAGTAGCTTTTCTTTTTCCATCTCTAAACAATGCATTCTCTTCTGTTATTACATCCTGTAAATCAAGCTATTTGATAGCTGACCTCGCAATAAGAGAGCGAAAAGGCAAAGGTGACATAAAAATGAGTATTTCTCCATAGATACAGAGAGGAAGGAGGAGATGCCAGACAGTCTTCATCAGTTGTCTGGATACAGCTCGCTATTACCCGCAGACCCATCTTCCAAAGCCATGACCATTAATTCTCATAGTCTGACAGACATTTCAAAGGTAAGTAGAACTGGCAAGTGCTTAGTTGATTTCCTTTCTGAGGTCAAGAGAACAAGTAAGCATTAGTTTTAGTTGTATATACTACTAGTGCAAAACAAGGAAACTATGCAAAACTACATCTAGGTCTGTCTCATAAAAATCCTTTTGATATGTAAACAGTGCTTGAAGTCACATTTTCTCTATGAATTTTTCAGGTTGGAAGTCCATCTGAAGAATGTTACCTTTGAAGAGTTCAGTAACTTTGTTGCTTTTACATTGCAGGAGACAACAAGACAAAGAATGGAAAGGATAAG